CTTTCTGGCCACACTCTTATCACCACAGCATTCTAACTCTAAGGCAAGCAGCAAACATTTGCCAAGCAGTTTTGCTTTTATCATTTTCAAGCACTAAGTTTCAATTTCACCCTTCGTTCATGACATATATATCCAGCATACCCCAGCTTCTTATTTCCTTCCTTGAAAATAGAATCCATTTCTATTTGAGAATAATGATACTGCTTCCTGGAGTCAGAAAACTTTTTTTTAATCTTTATTGTTAAAAGTTGATTTTCATGTGAAATATGCTGTTATTGCTAAGTGCTATTGAGTCAGTTTGAATTCATAGTGACTGTGTATAGGTTTCTGAGGAGTGGGTGGTGGGTTTGAACTGCTGACATTGTGGTTATGAATCCAGTGCTTATCCTACATTGCTACATCAGGACTCCTTATGAACATAACATTATAATAATAGAGTCTAAGATTATCCATTGAAAGTGATCTTAGTAGACATTACAACCAATCCTTTCACATATGGATGAGGAAACAGACTTAAAAGTTTACATCGTACACCGTTACACAGATCTCAAAGCTAGGACTAAAACCTCATGTGCTGACTTTGCCAATCCTTTTCTAATGCATTATTTTATGCTCCTTAAAGACTATCTCTGGTGGACTACTGACAGATCTGTACATTCATATGAGGGGCTATTAACTTGGTTTACATCTCTACTCAGGCCATAAAAAACTGGAGAGCTGCAGTTAGGCCACATATATGCTACTGCCTAAGAAAAAATTAACAAAATCCTGGAATATATTACAAATTAAAGTAGTCATAGAGTCTTTTTACTAGAAGTGTGGATTCCAGGACCAACAATCTTGGCATCTGGCTAGAAATGCAGAATTTTAAGTCCAACCCCAAAATCCACTGAATCAAAATCTGAATTTTAATATGAATCCATATAATTTCCATGTAAATTAACATTTCAGAAGTATTGCCTTAAAGAATATTCATATTTAGTGGGAACATGTGATCAGTTTTAGAATTTCCAGACATGTTTCAAATGGGAAGTATTTAGAGTTCATTGATTAGATTAATCCATGAATTGACATAATGCACTATCTCCATGATAAATGATCTATTTATGATCATTTTATTATAAAAACTATGGT